AATAAATCAAAACTCTTAGTTGGGCAGCTATTGGACTTAGCAATAATAATATCAAATGTGGAACCTGACTTTGTACATCCAGGACTATTTTTCTATTTAATTTTACTTATCATTATTATTATTTAAAAATTTGCTATAGGGCATTCACACTCACCAGAGAGTGAGAGAGAGAAAGTGAGAAAGCAAGCCATTGCAGGTCTAGGATTCGAACTATGGTTGGCCATGTGAGAGTCCAGCACCTTAACCACCACACCACCTGCTGGCCCCTTAGCTCTTTTTTTCTTTTCTTAAGCTCCCATTTAACAAACATTTACTTGATGAAGGCATTCAAGTAGACCTAGTGGGGAAAGTAAAGAGGTGATTTATATTGACATTGGAAAGATCACCGTAATAGGAAGAGACACTGGAATTTAGAGAAAAGAGCACATTTAATGGGATAGATGGGTGTTATCTGAGGTGAATTTTTAAAGTAAATATCTACCAGGATTTGGATAGTCAGTAGTGGCCATCGAATGGAGAGAGTAGAACACATTCCAGATAGAGGAAACAAAGGTATAGGAGGTAGAAGCAGATACTCAGTTTGTCTTTTTCGTTATTTGAATATTCACAATGACAGTTTGTATGTGTATGTGGACAATAACGAACTTGTTTGGCAACAGTATCAGTGTTAAGAATGTATGTGTTCTGGGGCCAGTATTTGTCATGGTGGTTAAGGCACTGGAACCTCACATGGCCACCTGTAGTTCGAATCTCTGGCCTGGTGACTTGAAGATCATGCTGCGTGTGTTCATGTGTGTGCCCAAAATCCCAAGAGGAGAATGGAGCAGAAGGGACTGCAGTGTGACCACCCCACCGGAGGCTGATTTCTCTAAAAAAAAACTTTTTCTCTGGCAAGTATACACGCCCTATGGCAAAAACCTAAACAAATAAAAAAAATGTAGAGGCCAACAGGTAGAATGATGGTTAAGGCTCTGGATTCCTACATGGCTGACCATGGTTTGAGTCTCAAACCTGGTGTTTTGAAAGTGATGCCGGGCACGTGTCTGTGTGCATGCCCAAAGTCCCAGGAGAGCAGAGAGAGGAGAAAGAATTTTAGTGTGACTATCCTCCTTGAGGGGTGATTTTTCACTTTCCCTCTCTCTGTCTATCTCTGGCAAGTGCACACACCCTATGGCAAACGCCTTATAAAAACAAAGCAAAACATTTTCTTCTATTCAGTATCTTAACTTTTTTTTTAGACAGGTTTTTGCTATAGGGCACCAGACAGACAGAGAGAGATAGACAGAAAGTGAGAAATCACACCCGGGGATGGCCACGCCACGAATCCCTTCTCCTCCGTTCTCCTCTCAGGATCTTGGGCACGCACGCACACACGCCTGGCATAATAAGCTACCTGGTCGGGACGTGAACCACGGTCAACTACATGGGAGTCCAGCAACATAGCCATTACGCTAACTGTTGTTCCCAGTATCTTAACTTCTAAAAATTTCTTGTGCAGATATACTTGTAGAAATAGACTACTATGGGGCTGGCAGGAGGGTGTTGGATTTCCACGTGACTGACTACTGTTTAAGTCCTGGACCTGGTGGCTTGTTTCTCACTTTCTCTCTCTCTCTCTCTCTCTCTCTCTCTCTCTCTCTCTCATTTTTTCCCTCTTTGGTCAAATTAAAATAAATAAATAAAGTTAGTCCTCTCCTGGTCAAATTAAATTAAAAAATTAAGTTAAATAAAATAATTCTTAAATAAAAAGGAAAAAGGAAATACACAACTACATTATTGTTGCAGTAGGATAAAACTGGAAGTAAAGTACCAATCAGTAAGAGATTGGCTTTGGATAAGAATATCCAGTAAAAAATATAGTCTAATCTTATTTGAGAATAAGGTGATTTCATAGACAGATGGGACATTTCTGGAAGTCTAACCAAAAAACTATCGTTAGTTGTTTCACACAAATGCCGGAGATGGCACAGGGGAAATATTCATTCCTTTTGTTTTCTTTCTTCCAAGGACATTTGAAAAAAAGAAAACTGTAGTTTTAAAGACCTTTAGAGCTTAAAATTCAAAGCTCTGGATTCTTTCCATTATGCGATTCTGCCTGCACATAACTAATTTTGATTTCAGGGGTAGGAAGCTGGAGGCAAGGAGAGGAAATGAAATGAGTTTTTTGTCATCTACACAATAAACAGATTATGAATTAGACTTTTAAAAAATCTTTACTGCTATTTGGGGATTTCTTAAGGAGAACCCTCATAAAATAAGCATTCGTAATTTTTTACATAGCCAGAAATCAAAATACATTGGGTAAACAACACCTTTTATAAAATATTTTCTTTTTTAAAAATGAAATAAAATGACAATGAGGAGAATTTTCAATAGACATGCTCACCAACTTGTTACACTCTTTTTCTTTATACACAAACACAAAGAGTTTTGAAAGACTGGATCTCACTACCTTGGCCTCCTGAGGTACGCACTGCTGTGTCTGGCGTCTTCAGACAGGGTCTTGCTGTATCCATGCTGACTGTTCTATTAGCTAGGGATCCTCCAAACACAGCCTCCTGAGTAGGTGGGACTGTTGGTGCACTCAGTATGTCTGGCATGTCAGGGTCGGCCGGGATGAAACCTAGGCCTCTTATGTGGCCTTAGCCATAGTCTAGCAGGGTTAGTCAGTGCATGCTACCACAGCTGGAACAGCCTGACATATTTGTAAAGTTCCGCAGCAAATTGTGACTTTAAATGACTTGACAACGAGATGAGAAATTTTTGTTAATGTTAAGAGTAACTGATCCTATGATAATTTTCTGACTCCTGTCTACTATGTGTAACTGAGTAAAAGAATGCAAAAATTCCTTAATTAGGATATTTAGTAAACCGTGTTCTCAGTTTTAGGCAGCACAGGTACGTTATGACTAATAATTATTTTCCTGCCATTTAAGGACTCTATTAAACGTCACTTCAGGGAACCAGTAGTTAGCGTAATGGCTATGTCACTGGACTCCCACGTAGTCGACTGCGGTTCGTGTCCCAGACCCGGTGGCTTAAAACTCATGCCGGGCGCGTGTGCATGCATGCCCAAGATCCTGAGAGGAGAATGGAGGAGAAGGGATTGCGGTGTGACCATCCCCCCTGGGGGGTGATTTCTCGCTTTCTGTCTCTATGTCTCTCTCTGTCTGTCTGGCGAGTGCACGCGCCCTATAGCAAAAAAAAAAAAAAACCCTCAAAAAAAAAAGTTACTTCACACGTTGGTGGCCTTAGTGCTGTCAGTTATTTAAAACAAGATTCAGTGTTTGCTTTCTTCTTACAGCTTGCAAACTTAATCTTTAAGGCAAAACTATGATTTAATTGTCTGTAATTTCAGTAGATTGCTTCTAATTTGTATAGAGTAGAGGAGAGCTAGTAGGTGGATGATGGCAGTACTTTTTTTTTTCTTTTAAGTTTTTTTTTTTTTTTAGAGAGACAGGCAGGCATACCTGACAAGGTCTCAGTACACTGCAGTCTTCCCCCAGCCAGGATTCACAAGTGCATATGGGCATGCCTGGAATGTTCAGATGTACCCAGGACCTGAATCTGGGCCCCCTACTGTGACTCTAGCATTGTTCGGCAGTGCCCTACTGTCCATACTACTGTGGTTGGGCCAGTAGAGCTTCTTCGTTTTTGTTTTTTTTAATCCTTTGTTTTTTTCAAAGTTTATTTATTTATTTCATGAGAGAGAGAGAGAGAGACAGACAGACGAGAACCCGACTGTCTTGCCACACCATATTCTCCCCAGCCTTCTAGCCAGGCAGGATCTTAAGTATGTCCATTATATTCAGGTTGACCTGAGATCCAAATTCAGAACTTTCCCATTCGGCTTCAGTGTAGGCCTGGAAATTCTTCTTATTATTATTCTTTTAAAAGAATTATTTATTTTAATTTTATTTATTAGTATTCATCAATTTGAACAGAGAGAGAGAAAGCAAGCTGCCAGGTCCAGGACTCAAGTCACAGTTGGCTGTGTGGGAGTCCAGTGCCACCACACTACCTGCTGGCCCCTGGAAGGGCTTTTTAAACAAGAAAATTTCAGGTTGTTGTAGGTTCAGCTGCCATTGAAAAAAAAAGAAATAGCATGATGGTCACCAGTGTGATCCTGGCAGCTTGTGGTTGAAAGACCCAAGAGGGTTTGAGCATGGGGGGAGGGGACACCTTGATATCAGTAGATTATGAGCTTTTTGGGACAGTGCAAGGGGTGTTTTAATGTAAGTACACCCAGAATGAGAGTAAAAAGCTGGGATTGGTAGGCTCAGTTCAGAACACTGACTGGGGCACAGTGCAAGGCCAATTGCAAGGTCCCATCTCCAAAGTGCATCACATGCAAGGATGGCTTGAGACAAAAGGAAGTCGCGAGTCACACACTGACAGAGCAGACTTCAACAGGAAGAAAGCTATCATCAAGTTGGATTACTCAGATTTCCAAATTATAAAATAATGGCTGAATTTTAAATTTTTGAGATAAAAAATTAGTAGTTTTCATTTTTATTTTTAATAGAGATAGAACTATGTATATTCAGTACTAGAATTTGTTGTTATTTTAGTATCAGATATTTGAATGTTATATATTACATGTCTTGTATGATGGAAGGATTACAACTGTACACAATTCTAATAGAAAAAAACACATTAAAATCTTGGGATGGCAGGTGGCTTGGTGGTTAAGGGCGCTGGACTCCCACATGACTGACTGTGGTTTGAGTCTCAGACCTGGACTTTCTCACTTTCCCTGTTTTGTTCTCTCTCTCTTGCTCTATCCCTCTCTGGTCAAATTAAAATAAATAAATAAAGTTAAATAAAATAATTCTTTAAAAATACACACACACTAAAACCTCAGGGAAAAAAAGAAAAAAGAAACAGCTATAGTTTAAATTGTATTTGTTGAATGTCCTATAGAGATATTTTTTGTGTTTTAGAAAGTATTTTTTGAATCTTAAAGTTTCCTCTGCTTAACACACTAATTTTTCTTTAAGGTATGGTCTGCGTGAGTTTGTGGTAATTGCCCCTGCTGCACACAGTGATGCCGTTCTCAGTGAATCTAAGTGCAACCTCCTTCTGAGTTCCGTTTCCATTGCTTTAGGAAACACTGGCTGGTAGGTAGATATTTAGAAGAACCTAGACTAAGTAAAAAATTATTTTTAATGATAACTTACAAAGGTAAGAGGTTATTAAATGTTAGATATTTTATTATAACTAGGAATTTAGTACATATACTTGCATATTATTAAGCAGGTTGAGCATCCTTTATCCCAAATTCTGAAATCCAAAGTGCTCCAAAATCCAAAACTTTTTGAGCAGTGAAACAGTGCCAGAAGGAGAAAACCTCATGTGATGTGCTGCAGTCAAAACACTGTAGCATAAGAGTATCGTATAAAATTGCCTTCAGGCTATGCATATAAAGGTCATGTGAAAAGTAAATGGGGACCAGCAGATGGTGGAATAGTTATGTTGCTGGACTCCCATGTAGTCAATCATGGTTCGATTCCTGGACCTGGTGGCTTCAAACTCACACTGGGTGCATGTGCATGCTTGCCCAAGATCATGAGAGGATAGTGGAAGAGAAGGGACTGTGGCATAACCATTCCCTTAGGGGCTGAGTTCTCACTTTTCTCTTTCTGTGTCTCTGGCAAGTGCATGCACCCTATAGCAAAAATCTCAAAAAAGAAAAAAGAAAAGTAAATGAATTTCATGTTTGGGCTTGAGCCCCACCCCTAAGAAACCTTATTGTATATAAGTAGATATTTTAAAATCCAAGACCAGCAGTTGGCGTATTGGCTATGTCACTGGACTCTCTTGTAGTAGATCATGGTTTGAGTTCCAGACCTGGTGGTTTAAACTCACACGGGGTGTGTGTGCATGCATGCCCAAGATCTTGAGAGGACAGTGGAGGAGAAGGGATTACAGTGTGGCCATCCCCTCTATGGGGTGATTTCTCGCTTTCTGTCTTTCTCTGGTGAGCACCCATGCCCTATAGCAAAAAAAAAAAGAAAAAAAAAGAGAGAGAGAGATTTTAAAATCTAAAACATCTGAAATCTGACACATTTCTGGTCCCAAGCACTTTGAATTAGGGATGTTCAACCTGTACTGAAATTTTGTGTTTTACGACAAAATTAACAAAACCTTAAGGGAGGTCTTGTTCTCTTTTCTGTTGCTATAATGGAATATCGCAGATTGGATAACTTATGAAAAATTAAAGATTTATTCAGCTCACAGTTCTGATGATGCAAGGTCAAGGGGTTGACTCTGGTTAAGGGCCTTCTTGTTGCAGTATAAGCTGGTGGAAGTATCTCACGGTGAGACAGAACAAGTGCACATCAGAGAACAAGGGAAAACTGCTTTTGTAACAGTCCACTCTTGCTGTAACCCATTAATTCAGTAATCTGTTAATACATAATTGGGCTAATCTATTCATGAGGGAAGAGCCTTCATTACCTTCACTTTTTCTTTTTTGTGAGGTTTTTGCCTTAGGGTACATACCCTCACTGGAGAAAGCGCACGTGCGAGAGAGAGAGAGACACAGAGAGAAAGTGAGGTATCATCCCGAACAGGGGGGATAGCCATACCGCAGTCCTTTCTCTTCCATTCTCCTCTGGGAAGCTTGGAGACACCCACACATGCACCCAGCGTGATTTTCAAGCCATGGGATCTGGGACTCAAACTGCAGTCGGCCTGTGTGAGTCCAGCAACGTAGCCACCATGCCATCTGCTGGCTCCCACCTAATCACTTTAATTTTTGCCCCACAGCTTAATATTGTTACTGTGGGGATTAAGTTTCAACATGATTTTAAGAGGCGATACATATATTCAAACCATAGTAGGAGTTTATTTTTATAGGAACTCTTATTGCAATAGTCTATAAATTGTAGTATTTTTGTACTTTGCTTTCAAAAGTTTAATTAATTTAAATTGTATTTAAAATCTAATTTTAAAATTTGAGAATTTTTAGTGTTTTGTGTAATAACTTCTTAAAAATTAGTTTTAAGTACTTTTAGGCTCTTTTCTCAAATTGAAGTATATTAAGAAAATGAAATTTACTTAGTCACTATATGCTATTTTGATTTGTATTTAATTTGCATAACAAATAGATTAAGAGTAAATATAAACTTACTCAGGAAAAATTAATTTATTAATGGACATTATTTGTATATTCTGAGTAACAATTTGGCCTTTGTTTAAAGAAAACATTAGAATAGCTATTCATGTGGCATTATGAACTTGGAAATTATTTGTACATTTTATTATTCTTATCCAAGGTCGTTATATTCTGAAAGTCACCACAAACACTGAATTATCAAATCCTGAGTCATTGTTCCTAGGAGAGGTACAGAGTTAGGTTCCTACAAGCTTGTGGTAACGTTTCTGTCAGCCAATTAATATGTAATTGTTTTATGTATGTTTCTGTTTAAATAAGCCTTATTTAATTTACATATATTGTTGATTCATTAACATTGAACTCACAACCGACAGCACTATAACTCATGCCCAACAAAACTTACCTATCACAACCATTTTCACTGTGTAGTATGTCTTAGCATTTTTATTTTTTTTAATTCACTCATTTCTCCTGAGAAAGAGAGACAGAATGAGAAATAGACAGGCATCCTCATCAGGTTCTTCATGCTGCATTACACCACCAGCCTAAGCCATGGACAGCCAAACCTTGGGACATGAACCCAGAACTTTCTCAGAGCATTGTGTTACTCCTGCATCAATGGCTGGTCCATGGCACATCCTTCGGTTACTAAGCTATTTGCCCTAAATAAGAGCACAAAAATGCAAAAAATGTAGCAATAAGTAGATCATGAAAAGGACACTTGTTTGCAGTATGTGAGCTGAAATAAGGCAGAACATCATCTTGTTGACCTTAGTTGGGAGCAGGCACACTGAGTGACTTGAAAGTTTGTTCTACACATATCTGCAAAGGACTGTGGGAGTGCTGAGAGGATTGACCTCTGGGTTACAAATACATTGTAGTGAGTAAGCTAGGTTTGCAAATACAGAAAACCTGTGAATAGTGAGGATTGACTCTTAAGTAAAAATATCATTTCATCAGTGTTGGTTTATTGTGTATTAATATTCATGAATCAGATTTTATTATAAATTTCAAAAGACTAATATGATACCATCATTTTTACTCAAGAAAACTTTCTTTATGCGGTTTTCTGACTTTTACCTTATTTAAACAATTTTCTGACTAATTAAAGTTCCAGTAGTTAATTTTTTTAGCTTTTTATTATAAGGAGAAAAGGGACTAAGAATGTATTATAAGAATCCATGTTTTGAGGTTGTTTCCTTGTTAGTGTTTTTAAATATTTGATACTGCACTTTATCCCTGTTTGATCATGTCCTGCAGTCAGGTGCCACTCTTTGTGCAAATTCATCACAAATGGCGAAGAATGTACTTGGGAGAATGTCAAGGTCCCGGTGTCCGAACTGATTTTGAAATGGTTCATCTTCGTAAAGTGCCAAATCAGTACACTCATTTATCAGGTCTGCTGGATATCTTCAAATCAAAGATTGTGAGTTGGAACTGTTATTGTTATTCTATCTGGGATCCAGATAACTGTTTGGTCATTATGTTGAAGATACAGAAATATTTTTCTTTAATATTAATCATATAATTCATTGGGAAAAAGCTATAACTGACTACATAAATTATTGTTTATATTTAACAAAATATTCAGTTATGTTTTTAATATACTCATGCTAGAGAAACAACTGATTTTTTTTTTATTTGTTCAGTCTGTTAACATTTATTGACTGTGTCCTCTTTGTCCTCTAATAGTTAAGTTGCCAATCTCCCCTGCTTGTTTGAGGCTTTGACTGAGTTCTTTGAGGTCTAAATTTTGGGTTCTGAATTGCCTGGTTTTTTCCAAGTCTTCATTTGATTGATGTTTAGGGTTAATCTGGCTGAGGGCTGCAGGGCTGTGCTGAATATATCCTTGGTGTTCTATTAAAACACTATCACAGACATGGGGAAGACTTTCCTATTCTGCTCTGGGGGAAGATAGAGTTTAAGTTGAGGAGCTATTTGCAAATGCCTCTAGGAAAGAGAATAAAGCCGGATAAGTAAGTAGTGGAGGGGAATCTGCACTTATAGAAATATTATCCTTAGGTTACCTAAGGATTCCTATTTAAATTGAGGTATTTTGAGTGCTAAAGTTGATACCATGTCACATATGTGATCGAATGACATCGTATGTCTCCTGATGTGATACACTGAATAAGATACACTCTCACCTGGGCAGCAAAGCCAAATGTTTAGCATGAATCAGAACATGTGGAATCAATCTTGTATTGCTAAAGTGAGCCAGTGTGCAGTGTGACTGGTTTGGACTCTTCAGTATCATGATAGGCAATAAAAGCAAGGACCTGTTCATATTAAAGAAGATGAAGGAGATAGGACAACTAAATGCAGGGCACATTCATTGGCACCTGGAGACACAGTAGCCATTAAGGATATGACTGGGATAATTAGGACAGTTTTACGTTGTTTCACTTTTTGAGATTTTTGCCATAGGGCATGTGCACTGCACCAGAGAGACAAAGTGAGAAACTAGCCCCTGGGGGGATGGACGCACTGCAGTCCCTTCTGCTCCATTTTCTTCTCAGGATTTTAGGCATGTATGCACATGTGCCCGGTTTGATTTCTTTTTTTGGGGGGAAGGGCAGATCTTTGCTGAGCATGTGCTTACTGGAGAGATAGAAAGCAAGAAACCACTCCTCAGGGAGAATGGCCACACCACAATCCCTTTTCCTCCATCCTTCTCTCAGGATTCTGGGCACACACGCACATGTGCCCAGTGTGATTTTCAAGCTCCCAGGTTCAGGACTCGAACCACAGTCAGCCATGTGGGAGTCTAGCATCTTAACCACTATGCCACCTACTGGCCCCGTTAGGACAATTTTAATATCAGTGTTAAGCTTCTCGTGTATGATGTCTGTGTTATGGTCACAAGGGTAAAATCTTTATTCCTAAAGATTACATACTAAAGTATTTAGGGGTGAATTGTCGTGATTGCTGTAACTTAACTTTTTAAAGAGTTCAGCCAAAAAATGTTAGATATAGTGTGTGCTTATATGTGGCAAAGTGTTACTAGTCGAACTTGGTGAAAGTTGTATGGGTATACATTACACTAGTTTTTAAATTATCTGATGGGTTGGGATTTTAAAAAGAAAATTACAAGAAAATAATGCTGGGGGCCCGCACATGGCTTGCTGATTAAAGGCCCTGGTCCCCACATAACCAACCACAATTCAAGTCCTGGACCTGGTAGCTTGCTTTCTCACTTTTTAAACTTAAAATAATTGAGACCTGGCTTGGGTACTTTATTTGATCTCTGCATAATTAATACTACCTGATGTAACTCTTCTTCTGCTATCTTTATAACATTATCCTTATAAAAATTCATTTTGGGGACCAGCAGTTGGTGTAATGGCTTTGTCGCTGGACTCCCATGTAGCTGACCGTGGTTCGAGTCCCAGACTCTGTGGCTTAAACTCATGCCAGGCGCATGTGTGTGCGCGTGCCCAAGATCCCAAGAGGAAAATGAAGAAGGTATTGCGACATGGCCATCCCCTCACCAGAGGGTAATTTCTCTCTTTCTGTCTTTCTCTCTCTCTCTTGTCTTTCTGGTGAGTGCATGTACCCTGTAACAAACAAACAAACTCTCAAAAAAAAAAAAACAATTAGTTTTTAACATGTACCACACTTGCTTCAAGGCATTTGCCCTGCCTTGGCAGTTCATTTCCAGTCCACAGAGGTCTAATGATTAGAAAAGGCTTTGTTTTTGGGATTCCACTGTTGCCATTTGAAATCACGTAATATTTAGGTTTAAATCCTCTTGCCACAGTGCTCCATGTGAAACCTCTTTTTTTTTGAAAACTCTTTTCTTTTTCAGTTTAAATATTCTTAGTTCTTTCAGATGTTCTTTATATTGGGTCATCTGGAAAGTCATGATGCATTTTTGCATAGAAAAACAGAAAAATATTTCATGACTTTTCTGATGACCTAATATTTCATGGTTTTGTATTCCTGATTGTTGGTTTGAATATGTCTTTAGAACTAAATTTTTTCATCTTTTAAAACGTTGTTTTCAAATTCATTTTGAATGAGAGTTTTATTTAAAATTTTCCATTTTTCCCCACCCACCTTCTTTAGTAGTTTTACTATTTATATATATATTTCTGTATAAAAAGAAAAATTGTGCGTGTGTGTGTGTGTATTTTCATTTTGCTATAGGACGTATGCCCACTGGATAGAAACAGAGGGAGAGTGAGAAAGCGGAAAAGTAAGAAAGCACCCCCCAGGTTGGATTATCACACTAAGTTCTTTCTTCTCCATTCTTTTGGGATTTTGGGCATGCACACACATGCACCTGGGGTGTTTTCCAAGTCTGAGATTCGAATAGTGCAGTTGACCATGTAGGGATCCAGCTGTCTTAACCACCACACCACCTAGCTGGCCCTTTATATAATTTCTTTTTAAGTTTTTTTTTAATTTATTTCTTCCACGAGGTGAGGAGAGGTACCCACAATAAGATCTTCACACTGTGATCCACCCCCCAGCCTCAGTCAGCCAGGATCAGGGCCACCCAGTGTATATATGGAGATGGTGGATGTGAATCTAGGACCTTCCCAGTATGGTCTCAGCATCACAGATGTTGCATTACCTGTACACCACTGTGACTGGCTGTGTAGTGGTTTTATAATTTTATGGTTGCTCCCTGTCTGCAGAATATTTCAGATCAGGTCTTAAACTGATGTTTGGAGTTTCTTGTTCTGTGATGATATTGGGGATTTTGCATATCTTGTCTTAGAATCTTAGGTTGCTTGCTTAACACATAATGATGAGGGTTTTTTTTTTCATTCTAGACCTATTTTTTCCTAATAAAGCTGCAGTACCAAGCAGGAGTGCTCCTCTCCAGGGTCTGGCTAAAATAAGATTCTTGAAGTGTGCTCCTTCTGGTTGGAGTCTTTGGATCCATTCAATGCAGTGTGTGATTCTAGGCTGTCACTGCCTTCTTCCATACCTGGAGCTCAGCAGGCATAAGCCTTGAGCCCTACTTATCCCTTTGGGTTTTCTCTATTTTTTCCCCCCCTATGGTCCACAAAGATTTTTCTGTCATTTCTCATTCTAGCTATTTCTTTTTGGGTATCTCTTTCTATATTATATACATTGCTGTGTGACTGGAACTCAGATTATGTATCAGAATGACCTTGTTAAGGTTCTAGGCCATTTGGGGACAAGCAGTTAGCGTAATGGCTATGTCACTGAACTCCCTTGTAGCCGACTGCGGTTTGAGTCCTGGACCCTGTGGCTTAACCTCACGCCGGGACATATGCATGCCCAAGATCTGGAGAGGAGAATGGAGAAGGGATTGCAGTGTGGCCATCCCCCCTGGGGGATGATTTCTCGCTTTCCCTCTATCTCTCTCTGTCTTTCTGGTGAGCACATGCGCCCTATAGCAAAAATCTCAAAAAAGAAAGAAAGAAAGAAAGAAAGAAAGAAAGAAAGAAAGAAAGAAAGAAAGAAAGAAAGAAAGAAAGAAAGAAAGAAAG